AGTGGTTTTATAAAGTTTTTAGCTTTATATACAATGATTGGAATCAGTTCCTTAAAAAAACAAATTGTTGAAGTTTTACTCCCTCATCAACACTATTTAGATCATTTTGGAGGCAGACTGCTTAGACACTGCCTATCAGGGACAGCCCAGGCTGAGAGGGATGCAAAGTCCCAGTAGAAAGACGGAGATGCTCGGTAAAAATTCTCACAATACAGGAATCAATCTCATTTCTCCGGCAAAGCACTTAACTGCTACTGGGGCTCTCATAGCCTAGAAGTTAGGTTGTTTGCCTCTCGTTCAAAGGTCCATGAGGTTAGATTCTGGGGAGCGACGGTAAATGTTCTTCTCTAAAATTGTCTCCTTTCACATCCTTTCCTACTCTCTAGCAATGTTCTGTCGTCTGCTTTCGTCTCCACTTTCTGCCCCCACCCCCTCACCTCCTTTGCCCCCTCCTCTGGGCTCCTGACTCCTTCTGCCGTCTTTCTACTGCTACTCCTTGGCTCCTTCTTACTGCCCCTGATCTTATGGTAGGAAAGATGTACACCTAGCCTTCTCGGACAAGTGCGAAAAATCTCGGAGGTCCCATGTGCAAGTTGCGCACGTTAAAGATCCCTTGGTGGTTTAAAATCGATAAGAGTAAGCTACGGCCACCACCCAAGCAAAATCAAAATATCCTTTTTATGGAAAATGATTAATGTGTCCTGCTTGTTCATATGACCTTATGCAGTTGCAAGCGCCGTAAAACACATTTAAAAAAAATAAATAAAAAAATAACTGCTACACCACAGACACTAATTAAACCGAAACAGTTCTTGAGATCAAAATGCCGTTGTCCATAACATTTTTCAGTGAAAATATTCAAACAAAAATTTAAAAAATAGACCTAGAGACAGTAAAATAAAAAAGTTTGAGCAAACGAGGAATTTACTATGAGAGTTTTTCAGAAGAAGGAAAACAGTACAATAGACTATCAACTTGACTTTTAGACTAAAGCCTGAGAAGTGTCTCAGACTCGCAACTGTAAGGTCGTGGGTTCAAAACCCGCCAGGGACCCAACGTTGTGTCCTTGGGAAAGGCACTTTACTCAAAATGTCCTCACTTCACCCAGGTGAGATTGAGTACCCAGTGAAAGATCGTGTCAGTTTGTTAGTGTTTGAGCGCTCAATCAGCTGCTTGTACTGTATGCTTCTCGGGAAGCTGAGAATGTTTATGAGTGTTCTATGGCCTGCTGGGGTAATAATATAGTGTAAAGTGCATAGAGCTTGCTGTAGAGCGGGGTTATGCGCTATGCAAATGCTTATTATTATTATTTAAGTCTACATTCCAACTTACAACGCCAACCCTCTCCACATCAATCCAGCACTTGATGCCGTTGTCCTGCAGGAAATCCTTAATCTCACGAGGATCACCAAAACCAACAGCTCCATCACTTGCCCTGCAATCGAAGCAAAAATGCAAATTTAGGTACAATTTCATCATCAGCCAGTGCATTCTCTGCCACCCTTTGCTTTTAACTTTATAACCCTGATTAGACGATGGGAGCGTCCAAAGAAACCCGCCCAGTCCCCAAAGTGGACGGTCCTAGTTTACAAAGGGTGGTTGCAGGGTACATGAAGCATTACTGCTAAATGCACTCTTTTACTAATCCAAATAAATCTATTTTGACTTGGAAGTGTTAGATAAATGTACAAACTAGAGCTACTTCCTCTTTCATTCTGACACAGTCTTAGCCATTTTATGAATATTTTGCACATATCCCTTGTCACGTGTTTCACAAAATCTGGAAAAAATTCCGTCAAAACGTGGAAAATAATTCCGGAATCAATGAGTTTAAAAAAAAAAAAGAACTGTGCCTTGCTATAAGTATACAGAACTGTTTTGATCATAAGCAGGAGCCCTTGACTTGGAACCTGACAGGGCAATGATATGACCTCAAGCGACATATACATATATGTTTTTTTTTAGAATCCATTTTTGCCTGTTCCTACATCCTCAGCTCAGTACCTCTCATTGCAATCAAAATGTAAGATGGAAGAAGGTGGCAGCCTGCTCTCTGATGTACATAAAGAAAACTAAGCCATGCCTTATCTTTTTTAGTTAGCTGTTTACAAATTATATAAAGGACTTTACTTCTCTCATCCCAAGTTTGCCATATATGTGAGTTGTGGGGGCAAAAAAAAAAGACCTATACACACTGGCACGAAATGTAAACCTTCAAATGGCAGATCAGCACACAAGAAGATTCTTGTACAGGATACAAGTGTGCACGCACAAAATTAACTTTCATGCACTCTCACTTCCTTCTCTTCTGTCTCCTCCTTCTTTCCTCTCCTTTCCTCTTACTTTCAAACAGAAAGTAGTGCCATCAAAGTAACCTGTTTGGGTATGGTATTGACCTCAAACAAAATAATTAACTACCCAAGTTACCAGTTCAAGAAATAATATAACAGTACCTGGTGCCTCTTGCAACTGCATGTGCCGAGTTCTGCCAGCAGTAAGAAATGAAGCAGGGTGGAAATACTTTCTGCTTCCTTTTGTCTGTCTTCAAAGCATGTTTTTCTTTCAGCATGATCTCCAACTCTTCAAATTTGTGTGGGTAGCGACTCGCCTTCATCATGTTTATGAACACCTGAAAAAAAAGAATAATTACATTTATCATTAAGTACAGTCCTAGAAATTCAGTGCAATTAATGCTCCTTCAACATGAAGCTTCTGTAAGTTAAAAAAATAATCTTAATATGTGTTTGTGTGTGTGTTTGCATTTGTATTTGTGTGTGTGTGTGTGTGTGTGTGTGTGTGTTTGGATGTGTGTTTGGTTGCGCGTGTGTGTGTGTTTAGATGTGTGAGCGTGTGTGTGTGTGTGCGAGTGTGTATGTGTGTGTTTGCGTGTGTTTGGATGTTTGTGTGTGTGTGTGTGTTTGTTTGAATGTGTGTGTTTGGGTGTGTGTGTGTGTGTGTGCGTGTGTGTGTGTATGTGCGTTGTGTGTGTGTGTGTGCTCCAATGACCATCAGTCCAAGATGACCACCTGCACAAACGACAACTTCTCACTCCCCTTCCCTCTTCACATTAAAAAAAAATTAAAATGACCCTGTCCAAGATGTCAACCTGTCTAAGACAACCTCTTTTCTCCTCAAACACACTCACACAAACACATAAACATATACATATATACACTCACACATCCACATTCAGACACACAGAAATACACTCGCACACATATACATATAAACACACTCACACAAATAAACACACACACTCACACAGGCACATAAAACACACTCAACTACACACACATTTCAGCCTCAAAACTCACCTCATCTGCCAAAAGGATTCCCATGTTACTTTTCTTCCAGTCTAAGTTATCGCCAATGGCAACAAGCAGCACTGGCTTCTTCAGGGTGATCCGAGCATACTTAAACAAGTTGCAGCAAGCCTCATCCAGGACAAAATTGTTGGACATAAACACCAGGAAGATCTTGGCGTCAAACAAGGCTTTGGCCATCTCATCGGTGGACTGGAGGTCTGATGCAGCCGGCATCCAGCTAGGGAAGATAACAGTAAAGTTGAGGTGAAGGGGATATGAAAAGAGGCAGTTTTCCAAATTGCTAAAATGTGTATAACAGCCTTGCTTATTAGTTTTTTAATTCTCCTGTAAAATGACAAAAACCAAGTTAGCCATTTAGAATCGTTCAACAATGACATGTGTATTACAAAGAAATACTTCACTGGCACTTATTATAAAAAACAAAGGTACTTAGCTGTTATTTCAATATTCTGTGTGTATCCAGAATTAAGGTTGTGTAAGAAGGATTTATCATTAAAGATTAATTATTATGTATGAAAAGTCATTGCAGATATGACCCATGTTAAAGATTGCGATCCAGATAACCTTACACAGATGTAAATTGTTAAACTAAAAAACGTAATGAGCGTTAAACAATCGCAGTTCTTCATAAGTTTGTCAATTTAAATGCTCCCGTTTTGAGAAATATCATTATATATGAATTTTACTTCTAAGGACACAAGAAACAAAATTGAGGCAGCACAAAGCAAAGCCAAAACTTTGAGACTTGTTCCTTTTCAAGCCAATATCGGAAGCTGAACTATTCCAAAATAGTAAGCAAATAAAAAATGAAGTGAAGTGGAGAAAAATTCCTCTGCCTATGATGTAAACCATTTTAACCCATCACGAAAGGTAACAGTAGCATAGTCAACATTATACTTGCCCTGAAAATCCTGGTAAGTAAAAGTAAAATTCCCCCCCCCCCCCCCCCACATACATTCACATGTTTAATCAAAAGGCAACACTTTCCACACAAGTCCTATTTTCAGTTTTCCCATCAGTTTTTACTCATCTAGCAACTGTTTGTTTTTTTTTTAGTAAGTGTTTTACAGCGCTCGCAACTGTATAAAGTCATATGAGCACACAAGACACATCAAACATTTTCAGTTGGTAGGAAATTTTGAATTTTGCCCTGGCGGCCACCGAAACCTACTCTTATCGATTTAAGACCACCAAGGGATCTTTAACGGGCGCAACTTGCACATGGAACCTCCAAGATTTTTTTGTCGTTGTCCACGAAGGCTAGGTCTAGATCTTTCCTACCAGAAGATCAGGGGTATGGCTGAAAGACAGCAGTAAGGAGGAGCCAAGGAGTAGCAGTAGAAAGGCTGCAGAAAAGAGAGGGAAGCCCAGAGAGGGAGCAAAGGGGGTGAAGGGGTACGGGCAGAAAGTGGAGACGAAAGCAGACGACAAAACATTGCTAGAGATCAGGAAAGAAGGTGAAAGGAGACAATTTTAGAGAAGAAAATTTTTCAATCGCTACCCGGATTCGAACCTGGGACCTTTGAATGAGAAGTGAACACCTTAACATCTAGGCCACGAGAGCCCCCTAGCAACTGTGATATAGCCGTTAGTCACTTTGCACAACATATAGAAGACCTGACTTCCATTCCTGTGGGGAGAAGACTTTCATCAAGTATCTCAGTCTCTCTTTTGTGATGTTGTATCCTTCTCAGCCCAAGTTGGTCCACTTCCTTAGTCATCTAAATTGTGTTGATGGGGCATAAAAGAACTACATTATAAAAAAGAAAGTTTTAACTCATTGTCAGGGTAAAGACGAATTTGAACAGCTTCTCACCATCTGTATCCAATCTTTTCAACATCCTCAATAACTTTACTTGGCAATACTGTCTCGGTATGCTGAGGTACCATATCCTTGGCACAATAAGACACAAACACATCTGAAAGGAAAAAAAAAGCACAAGGCCGTTTTATGAATATCAGTATCACAAGCTTGATTTATTTTACCCACACTGTTTACATTTTAAAATGTTTCCTAATTTTAAAGATCAGAGAATCTCAAAAGAGGGAGAAGACTAACGAAGCTATCAATCTCAAAACAGAAGAATTTCGACTGTCTGACAACAGAAAACTGTATGGAAAAATGCCTATAACAATTGCTGAGACAATGAGTATTGACACAGTGAATGTTGGAACCCTTCAAGAAAAAAACCCAACAGAAAACCAAAAGTCTCGTCAAGTCTTTGTTACTGCAGGCTCACACCCTTACTCTTTATCTCCTAAGGGGGCAAACCAACTATGTCGGCAGCCCTCGGTACAAAATCTAAAATAGACACACGCATCACTAAATTGGTCAGTAAATCAAAATAAGTGAACCTATTTCAATAGTTCTTAATCTAATGAATGAAATCCTAGTAAAAGAGACCTTTTGACGTCGAAGTCATCATAAAGGAATGTGCCTGAGCTGTTGTCAGCAGCCCACCAGCAGAGCGGTTCTCACCGCGAGTAGCTGAGAGCAGACTGCCAAAGAGAACGAGTTTATCTTGCAACACACGAGTTAACTCAATTTTCTGTTCGACAACTTTTTTCATTGTTGATTGAAGAATGTTTCCACAAAGAGTTCTACCATTTTCATCAAAACTGAGAGACTATTTAAGATTCAAAACGGAGAAATTGTTGAAACATCAACATTCATCTGTGATTTCAGATTTTCCTGCTTCCTCCTGTCTAACCTACTTTTACCAAAAGCCAAGAGACCTGACATTTAAATTACCTCTTAGTATCTGGTAGGGAGGACTACACACTAATAAAACCAATGATAAAGAGACAAATGTATTTTCTGAGACACTTGAATCAACATAAACGTCTTGAGCATCTTGCTCTCACTGGTAAAATAAAAGGCAAATAAGGCAGGGGCAGACCCAGGGCAGCCAACCAGGAAAACCTTAACAGATGGGTGATGTGGAAAAGCTGAGATACTATAGGTTTCTTGAGATCATCCGAGCAGAGAAATAAATGGTGAACCATGATCGCCGATGTCTGTTTCAGCTCTGGCATTTTATAATGGTGATGATCCAAGAAAAATAAATAAATGGCAAACCATGATAGTCAATGTCTATTTCAGATCAAACACTTTCCGATGATAAAGGTGTTAAACAAATCAAACCAGAAAAAAACTGCCAGTACATAACAAGCAATGAACAGACAGAAGACTGACCAGCAGCTACATCCTCCTGCAGTTCCTTCATGCCCTGGACAGCCTGCACAAGGTGAAGGTCAAAGTCCTGGTTGCTGTCAGGAGGCATGATGGCTGTAACCAACACAAAAAAGGAGAATGAAATATTCATGGAGTCAAAGACCATGCTCATGTTGAGACACATAACATTTTTTGGGGTCTGGTTGTTTGCTTTGTGTTTTTGCCATTTGTTTGGGGGTTGTATAGTTGGGGGTTGGGGGGGGGGGCGGGGG